AGGGCTAATGTTGGACTTGGGCTGCTGATGCTGCAGTTTTTCTGTTTCCTCCTGTTTCTGAGGGCACATGAATGCACCACAGTAGAAATGATTAACCCCAAGCTCAAAAAGTCTAACTTACTTTCCCGCTTAGACTTTTGACTTCTGGGATAATTTTGCTGCAATACCGCGACTGGCCACTAGGTTGGAACAAGTTGGAATCAGGTTGAGCGCCGCTGCTGTATATAGTTCTATTATATATTTATGCTTTTATGAACAACAGGGGCAGAAACTACATCAAAACAATTGCAAGTTGTTTTATGACGTGGCGAGGCAGCGTGGGATCATGGGAGCTGCTGCTAACGTTAGCTCATGCTTGTTTCTCTGATACTTCAAGATCAGACGTCTGTCCAGCTTCAAATCTAGATGTTAAAAGCACAAGATCGTAAACAATGTGATGGTTAAAATGTGCTTCAGACTGGATAACAGTCAATGTATGACTAGCTTCTGACAGACAACCACAAAGGGGATATGACGCCACTGAACTCCAACTTTAAGAAACTTTTTAAACTTATTTCCTTTCTGCTTTTTTATGCCACTAAAACATTTTTCAAAAGCCAAAATCAGCAGAGGTTCTTAAATAATAAATGGAATAATAAAGATTTTCCTCCTAAAACAGACATATAACAGTTTTTGGATAAATAGCCCGAGCTGGCCATCAATCCAGCCTTTTATCCCTCTCCGGTCCGAGATGGCGTTGGAGTGTTTTGGCAGCCGTTCAGACTGATAGATGAACCGAGCTCTCCTCCCCGGTTCCTATTTCTCCTCCCGATAGGCTAATTCTCCCTCGCACAGGATTAATGTCGGCTGCAGAGGAGGCATATCTCCTCCATCTGCTGACAGGGCTCTCTGACCTCTGACCTTTTGATCCCCTCGCTGTCAGACACTAGTAACTTTTAACTTTTAATTAAGCTTATTTTTCTGTAGAAAGTGGCTGGGAATGACTCAGCAAAGATCAGATGAATAAATAAAATATGTGGCCTGAATATGAAGCGATGTTAAAGAGACTTTGAGACGTGTGAAGGATCGAGGACGAGCGAGCGTGAGATGAAGAGACGAAGGAGGTCGGAGAGAATATAGCCGACGAAGTGGGAGTCGTAAAAACAAAAAGAGAGAAAGTGATGAAGTGTGGAGGAGGAGAGAGATGTGGAGCAGATGGGGTTCGTTGATGCGTGTGGTCTGAAAGGTGGTTCGCTCTACCTTCTGTGTCTGCGGGTTGGTGGGTGTGAGAGGGTTTACGCTGTCAGCACCCAAGGGTCCATTCTGAGTTTTCGCTCTCTCTCTTCGTTATTACTGCCACCGAAAAGAAGTGCTGAACTTTTACTTTTGTGGCTTTTGTGAGAAAAAGAAACCGACACAGGAAACAGGAAGCGTGTGCAGTTTTGTGGAGGAATGACTCGACTTCTCACTTGATTTCTGGTTTCAGTCTCTAGTTTCAGTCTTCTTCCATACAGCATGATGTTCAGTAAACGATGGTCCCATTTAGAGTAAATGCGTTGTTAAAAACTGGTATCGCTAACCTGGCTAAAGGTTTTCCAAATTGTTGTACTTGAATGCACCATTAGCCTAAAGTTAACGAGGACACTGGTATCTGCCACATAATTGGCCATAATAATAAGTTCAGAACTTATAATCGTCAGGTTTTTAAGTTTTCTTCAGTTTTAAAGAAATTCAGTGATAGTTGTCTGTGCATAAACTTATTTTATTATTTTAAATCTTTTCATCTTTTGCTCAAATTAACAATATAAATACACATTCTTATAGTCACAAAGAACAAAATATCACAGTTTAAAGTGTTTTCTTTCATCTGTGAAGTTTATTTCTGTAGCCCCTCTGTGGACCTGACCCGCTGTGAGGTGAAATAAACGCCGGCGCCGCTCCTGAAGGTTAAAATCTGGTCCGACAGAATTAAACTGACGTCAGATAAATGCAGAAGAACAGCAGAAGATACGAATTGTGCTGAGAGAGACGGAGTTATGTAACAGTGTGTCAGTACACCTCTCTGCAACCAGACTCAGTGTTCCTTACAGACTAGTTACTGTGCGTGTGTGTGTGTGTGTTTGGTTCTTGGAAACATGAGAGGACCCAGTCAGATCACTGTCTCCATAGCAACTGCATCTTCCTCCTCATCTGTCTGTCCTTCTCACGTTCTTCCTGCTGTCTTTTTTTGTATTGTTTTTACATTTTATAATGCACTTTTATTTTGTCCTCACCCTTCTCTCTCTCTCTCTCCTCTCTCTCTCATCTCTCTCTCTCTCTCTCTCTCTCTCTCTCTCTCTCTCTCTCTCTCTCACACACACACACACACACACCACACACACACAACACACCACACACCACACACACACAACACACACAACACACACTTCATCCTCTGTAACACACACATACACACACACACACAGGTGCTCAGGTGTGTAAGCCGTTACATAAACACACCACACCAGGTTTTACCTTTATGTTTGCATGGTTTGTCAGTTTGATGATAGAAGACATGTGACATCTTGCTTCACTCACACACACACACACAGACACACACACACTCTCACCACCACACACAGCATTAGAAGCGTCAACAGCTGCGTGTTATTTTGATTCAAGCGGTTTTATAATGAGCTTCCATGTGTGGCAAGTAAGAAGTATTCAGCGTCCTTTAGTAAATGTACCAATACGTTAATGTAAGAAATAACCCTTTACAGTATAGTGAAAGTCCTGCTTTCCAAAACCCTAAATACTATTATTCATATATATATTATTATTATATTATTATATATTATTATTATATAAATGCTACATAAAGTACAAAGATTTGCAGGTGAGTTGTTTTATCAGGTTACTTATTTAAACCTGCAATGACGGCTCCTTTAACCCTCCTAATCCGCCCCCTGGTGGCTGACTGCAGTACAGGGTAGCAGATGGGACAAACTTAAGTCAAATAAAGGTTTTATTGACGTTTTCTGTCACTTTAAGTCGTTCTTATAATGCTGATTGTTTGTTAGAGTGCTATTTTTTCTAATCAGTTGGGTTTTAATTAGCTGTCATGGTTGAGCCCGGCTCGTGATTAAGTTAGCCGAGGCGTAAGGGTGCAGACTCCGAGTGTGCAAGAGTTTGGCTTCATTTTTGTACAGTGGGAGGAAATGTCTCTTAATATGAATCTGAAGGGTCGTGAGATGATTAATGAGAGCGAAGAAAAAGCAGCTTTTTATGGCTGTTTCCGTGGAAAATAAGGTATTTGTATTATTAAATGCTGTTATGTTAATTTACTTCACTGTAAAACCAGATGAGTTAGTTCAACT